CCAGTTCCTGAAATGAATCCACATGTCTTATCAAGCCAATAAGATTAGTAGCAATTTGGAAATTCTTTCACCTCATGTGGAAATTTCTGGCAGTTACATGTTTTACAAAGATGGTTTTGATTTATTTATTTAATGTATTTTGCTTCTTTTTGTATTATGAAAGAAGTATGCTTCATCCTGAAGTCAAACCAAACTTAAGTAACAATCAAAATTGCCCTACAATAAAGGTTTTCTGAGAATCTCTAAAAGTGATTTTATTTGCATCTGGTGTCCAGTGTATGGAAGAAACTTTTGTGCAGATGGAACCAGTACATAAAAAAGGGCAATAATATAGCCTATGATCCTAACCACCAGGAAATGAGAGGATGCCACCAATCCACCTGGAAAAACTCTGGAATAGGAAGTGCTCTCTTTGCTTGAGACTCTAAAATAAAATAAAATAAAATAAAATAAAATAAAATAAAATAAAATAAAATAAAATAAAATAAAATAAAATAAAATAAAATAAAATAAAATAAAATAAAATAAAATAAAAAGATATATTTTCTGAGTCATGTCCCTTTATGGTTGTTTAAAAAAAAAAAAAAAAAGACACAGGTGATCTGACTTGTTTTAGGTGGTGGCTTGACAATGGAATGACTCTCAGGTGATCTCTGTAGCTAAATCTCCAAGGACTATAAGGGGAGCCCTGCATGAGCATCTTAAATAAATGCTGTTGTGGATGTCTAGACAGCTAACAAGGCAGGTTTTGTATTTACAAGGTATGGTACTTGTTCTTTTTGTCTGACTAATGGTTGTCTAGAGAATCAGAAGGTGAGAAGTACTGGGTTACAAATAGGTGGCCTCCAGGCTGATAGCAGACCTTCTTTGTAAAAGATGGGTAATTAAATCTGTATGGGTTGTGGCTACAGTATTTGCTTGGAAGGAACACTTCTGGCATCTTCTCTTAATTGACTGACTTTCCCTGGTCCTGAAGAGCAGGTACACAGAATAATCAAAGCAGATTATGCTGAGTGTGCCACGCTGGACCATGCCCTAAATGTATATCCATCTATCTGGATGCACAGCAGGGCATGGATGTTTCTCTCCCCTTGGAAAAATAGAGGGCCTATAGGAACGTAAAAATAGCCTTATTGAGTTGACCTTCTGTTCTGACAGAGTGTTCCCAGAGCTGTCAGCTTAGGATGTTTAGAGAAGGAGAGAGCTCTTATGGCTGTCACCTTCCAGCAGTCAGCAGTTCAAGACCTCCCTGCATCAAAATTTGCATGTAGGCTATGGTGTTTAACAGCCACTGAGGGATTTGTCCTTCGTTAATTTGTCTAGTTCTGTTTTGAATCTATTCATATAATTTACATACATCATTCTTCTGTTTCTCTTATGCTGTGTTCTCTCCATCTTGTGCCTCTCTGTGCTCAAATTCTGCAAAATGTGACTAGCTTCCATCTTTTTTCCCTTTTCTGCACCACTCAGTATTTTAGACGCCTCTCACGCACGTATATTTAGTCCTGTCTTTCTCCCAACCCTAGGAATTCAAATCTACTCCAAGGCTGTGGCCACTTTGCCAGCAGTGGTTCCCACCTGTTCAAAGCTCCTGCAGCCTGTACCTCAGCACCTCTGAAAGCAAAGCCACTCATTTCTCTGTCTAGGAATACTCAGATTCAAAGAAGTTGGTACGCACATCTGCTAATGATTTCAGAGAGGCCATCCCATGGTATATTTGGATCAGGTATCAAGGTTGTTTGTCAAAGAGGAAGCTTTGCCAAGCCTGATCCAAATATGTCTCATTTCACCAGTACACCTGTGTTCAGCAGGGCTGATGTATGGAAATGTCCCAGCAAGAGGGTGGACAAGGGCTGGAGATTAAGCATGGTGAAGCACGAGAAAGTATGTGTGGCTCTGAGCCTGTCATCCCATCTTGTCCCAGCTGCAGTTGGAGCAGTTTTGCTTCTTAGGTGCTTAATGTGAGTTAAACAGCAAAAGAATGGAATTTCAGATTTTCTTTAAATATAATAGTTTAGTTGGAAGAGATCATCAAGTCCAACTTCCTGACCTCTTCAGGGCTAACTAAATGTGAAAGTATATTATTGAGGGCAGTATCCAAATACCTCTTGAACACTGACAGTCATGGGGCATCAACTGCCCCACTAGGAAGCCTGTGTCTGACCACCCTCACGATAAAGAATTTTTAGGCATTTTTAGGCATTTTGCACCATTGTTGATCACCCGGTGCCCCAGCAGCAGCCTCATTCACTACCACGCTTTGAGCTCTGCAGTCACCCAGTTCTTCACTCAGCATGGTGTGAACCTCTTTCATATCACAATTTGCCCAGAAGGATGCCATAAGAAATATAACTTTCCACATCTCTTAAGGCAGACTTCTCCCCTTCAAACCAGAGGATTCAGTGAAAATCTCTGTTCTTATTCATGTGTATGTTTACATGCATGTTTCATCTTCCTCAACCAGGGGAATCTCAAAATGGTTGAGGTTGGAGGGGATCTCTGGAGGCCATCTGGTCTAAGACCCCTGCTCAAGCAGGGCCACCTGCAGCAGGTTGCCTAGAAACATAAAAATATGGCTTAAACATATATCAGTATTTATATCAGCTTGGGGAGAGGGGAGGAAATAGGCGATATATATATTTTTAGTAGTCTGACAAGTTTTGGATGTATAAAACTGATAAGCCCTGGTTTCAGGGCTCAGGAAAGCTGAAAACCCAGCTTCAGTTCAGAGCCCTGTCCCAGCTATTGTACCCTGTTCTGGGCACCGAGCTTGGTGCCTCAGCTCCAATTCTGAGAAATAATTTTTTTTTCTATGCCTGGCCTGGACAGGACATTGTACATCCTGCTGGGAAGGAGCTGTCCATTCTCAGAGCATGGCCAAAGGTGGCTAAGGATGAAGTGCAAAAGGCATGTATTATTTGAAATATCTAAGGTCGCATTCTGCTCTATTCGACCACTATACATCTAGAATAACTCCTTGCATTCATGGAATCGTTCAGGATTCATGCAGCTGCAAATGACAGCAAGATTGGACCTTAAGGTTTTATGTTTCCAATAAGGGTTTAAATGCTGGATAGTGCCTTAAATGTGGACTGGCCAAACATCTGGAAAAGGATAATTTTATTTTGCATTAATATTGATGTTTTGAAATCATCTCCCACTTCTGAAAGAGGATTTTAGTGTGGATTTTTTCCAAGGGCATGAAAAACAAACTTCTGTTTTACTAGGAATCCCCTTATCAGATCTAGATATCCATCTGCGTGTCTGTTAGCACATCAGCTGCTTGAGCATTCACCATTCCCCTCTGTAGGACCACATGTGAAATAGAGCCTGGGTTTACTTCTAAGTTGGATTTCATTAACCTTCGTTATGTTATTTGTAGTAAGTCTTGAGAACAGATTGGCCTTCAGAGGGTTTATCTTGCTTTCCGAAATGAATTATGTTACAATGAGTGAAGGCACCTTAATTCTGACTAGCAGTGTTTGGAGGGAGTACAGTGAAATTTCATAGCCACCCAGCTTCAGTAATGCTTCAGAGGGATGGAGACCAGCAGCACCCTCCATAGGCAGGCTCCACAACCTACCTACAGTTCTCTGGGTCACTTCTGCCTTCACAAAGTCTTGTACTTTCCTACTTTCCTTTGCCTGCCTGTACTACACACTGATGTTTAGACCTGCTCCATCCATCAAGATGTGGAGAGCTGCCATAGTCGTAACAGATTTACTGCAGCCAGTCTCACCAGCACAGTCAATATAGGTTTATAAATTAAAAAATAATAATAATAAAACTGTTGTTTTCTATAAAATGGTACAGCAGTCATTCTTGATTAAATAACACCATTAAGAACAAGTGCTAAGTCCTGTAGAAGTCCAGAGAAAGGCAGCCTCTGCTCTTACTGCTTTTACGGTTTAATCTAGACAAGAAAAAAAAATATTAGGGAAAAGGATGCAATGAGAGGACTGGTCCCGGATGCCTGAGAAGGACACAAACCAAGTACCTAAGAGGCACATGAGGAAATGAGAGCAGCCACATTGTATTAGATTAAAGCTCTTAATGGCATGATAACCAAAGTACTACCCCATGGGTGTAACCCCAGCTTCCAGAGACCAGCCCTGCCTGATGGGAATGTGCCAGTTTCATGAAGCAAGATGTTTTCTGTGACCAGCAAGTGCCTTGGAGGGCCTTGTATCACTGTGTATCAGCAAGCAGCCAGAATAGGGTAAAGTAGCTTCTGGGTAAAGCATCCTCCCTGCTCTCCCCTTCTTCTTGTCCCTTGACCTCTGGAAACCTTACAGGCAGAATGTAGAGGGGAGAAATAAAATCTTCCAGGGTGATGTTCATAGCCTCCTTCCCCTGAGCCCTAAGTCAGGGGGCAGATGCTGTCAGCTCATAGACTTCTCTAGAGCAGCCCCCCCGCGTTTGTTCTTGGATTTAGAAAGGATATTGATAGGAACTGATTCCATGGGGCTGAAGACCTAAGAGAGAGGTTGTAAATAGCACTGCATTCACGATGCCAGGTTGTGATTCTTGAAGTGAGAAGAGGCTCTTAAACTCTTGTCCCCAGCAGTATTTTCCAAGAGGTGGGTGCCAGCAAACAAAGCATTGCCTTGCCACCCTGAGTGTTATATTTAGCTATGCTTCTGTATCCCAAAGGAACCAGTATTTAAAAATGCTGTGCTAATGTTATTTACTGGAATGTGTCCCTCCAAGCTGCAAACTGAGGCATGCCACCCAAGAAGCTGCTCTCTTTTTATGTACAAGCATGTGTTTGCTGCGTGCAACTGCAATGTGCACCTCCTTTGCCTTGTACACAAATATTTCCATGTGGCATCTTGCAGGGGTGTTGCTTGGACGCCAATTAGTGAGCAAAATGAGATGGGAAGAACAAAGCTAGTGAAAGAAACTGCTGGTGCAATGGAGATTGTGCATTCAAATCATCTGCCTTGTCTAGGAAGCTTGTGCCCTGCTGAGGTTTAACCTCATTTCTCCCATCGCTGCAGGTGGATGCTGACGATGTCATCACCAAAGAGGAGCAGATCTTCCTACTGCTAAAAGCCAAGGCCAAGTGTGAGCGACATCTGAAAGCCAAGGTGCCCAAGGTGCACGGTGAGTGTTCCCACATCAACCCTGACTTCAGGGATGGGGCTTGGAGCACACAAGGGGGGCAGCTGAAGACAGCCCACCAGACTCCTTTTTTCTGGTTAAGCTATGAAAAAGACTTTATATCACAAGGTATTGGAAAGCATAGACAGCACATCCTCTTTCTCCTGCTCCACATGCCAGATTCAAGGGGTCTGGAGGATGCAAAAGTCATGGTCGTGGGCTTACAGCCCTTATTGCTGTACCCAAAGCCCAGGCAATGTATGGGAGGCATCACCCACCAGTACACCTTTGTAGCAGGACAAAAGTAGTGTGGGAAACAAAGCAGCCTTCCACCATCCCTTCTATTTCCCTCAAACAAATTGTCTCTATTCTCCTCAAATGGGCCCAAGCTTGGCTGAGCCCCTCTCTTCTACTTCCTTTCTATTTTGAGCTGCAAAATTACTACCAGATGTAGGACTAGGGGGAGAAGGAAGGGAGAAAGCTCTCTCATGTGGGCAGCAAAATAATCATCCCCCATTGGTTTCTTTCATCAATCTCACATGTGTTAATTATTGGCGCTGGGGCTGTATATTGAGACATCCTGCACCACCCAGCTAGTCCTGGGTGGGCATCCTGTCCCCTCTCCCTCTGCTGCCTGAGAGCAGGGGACGAGGCAGATCACCTCCTACTTTCACCCTAGCATCCCAAAGGTCTCTCTTTCTGTCGCCAGGACTGGCAGAAATACTTGGAGACCGCATCACCAGCCCAGAAAAACTCCCCAAAGCCAGCTGTGACTTGGAGCAGAGCTGCCTGCCCACCTGGTGTCTCTCTCCTGTTGGAAATCACAGGAAGGGGCTGTAAAAAAAAAAAAAAAAGCCACACAACTTTCAGTTTATTCCAGGCCTCCAGCTTTACATCAGCCAAAACCTCAAGCCACATCCTCTGTGCTTCTTTGTCCTATTCACCCAATGCCCAATTAACACCTCATTAAAAAAACATATGTGCAAAGGCATTTCCTTCTGTTGTACTTCAGACCACCTGCCTACCTCGGGACAGGGTGATATCAACCAGCTGGTCCTGCTCTCACACCCTATTTTCTAGCCCTTCTCTAGGACACCATCAGCATTTTGCCTCGATCTCTTAGCAGGCATCAGCAGTCTTGGTAGGGCTGGGGAGATGGTGACTGTGTGTAACCAACAAGCAGGCTTTGGGCTCTTTACCACAGTCACGTTGGTAGAATAATCCCATCACAGAGGTTTGTAAGCATGCCCTTGGTCCTGCTTTAAGACCTCACTCTTCAACCGTGAGACCAGTATTAGCTCTTCCTTTGACTGCAGCATAGAGGGATCTAATCCAGTGACATTTAGACATCTCATGGACTCATGCTGAGTCCTGGCCTTGGAAAAAGTTATCCTGAGCTGCTTAGGCAATAAAACTTGGGTTTTTGCTTCATCCTCTATAGGAAACCTCTGCTCATTTCCAAGTAGCACAGCCAAAAGGAGGAATTGTTATCTTGATACCTACAGCAGTGCACTCGAGGCTTTAAAGGCTCAATGCAATCATTAGTAATAGATAGCTGGAACAAACTCATCTGCAAGGGATTCCTTAACCCAAAGGTAGAAAGAACCTTTACTTAGCCTTCCCCGAGAGATTCTCTTAAAATACTGTTAAAAACCCTGTTAAAAATTCAAAATCTATTTTTGTGGTTTTCCCACCCCTACGTACTCCAGGAGTGTGAAGGAATGGAGTTTTTGGCCCTCTTGTAGGCTGAGGGGTGGTAGAACAAAAGGCCATAATCTACATGATCAAATCTCTTGGCTAAGGCTCACAAGCTCAGTCTCTGCACATAGCACAGCGTGAATAGTGGTTAGGCCCAGTCCTTTCCTCCTTTGAAGATATGGAAACTGGGGTCTGGTTTCTATTTGTGCTGCTCACCCAAGGACGTACGAGGCTGTGCACTTCTCAGCCAGATGGAGGGCTTAATCCCTTTGCATCTTCCCTCACCACAGATGCAAAAGAAAGTAATTTGGAAAAGGCAACAGTTCTCAAAATTAACTGTACTAATCCTCAGCTGCAGAATATCTGTGTGCAAAATGGTTGAGACTTGGAGCAATATGGATCCTGGGTGAGCACTCCAAGCCTTCAGGCACTCTTCTGTGATACTGCTCCAGGTATTCAGTTTGGGTAGCATAAGGACTGTTCTCATATTGCCACCCCACCTGGCCCTTTCTCTGTTTTGTCTCTGGACTTTGAGTAGTAGGGGAGAGAATTACACTTCGCAGTGCATTCAGCCCCAGCATTAGTGATGGTGGCATGCAGAAATAAATAATAGATTAATGGGCTTGAGCATCTTGAGCTCCTTTTAGAGCTGGTAGATGGAGAGCACCTTTGGGTGACATCTGTGTCCCAACCGTCTCCAGACATGGATCACAAATTACATATAGGATTGCTATTTAGATGAACCACTTAACACTGGGCTGAAGGCTGGACAAGAGATGTTCAAAAATCCTTTCCAACAAGCATTTCAATTATTAGTCCTGCCCGGGGGACTTAAAATCACAAAGTAGTGACACTGATGCCCCTTTGAGAGGTTGCTTCCTCCCTGCAGTCATTAGGGCTAAGGTAATTGAGGACTGATGATGGCCAAGCTAAAATGCTGCAGATGCAGAGCTGGAGAGGAAAGGGAAGGTCTGGGTAATTCATCTGTTTAGGGGGTCATAAGGAAAGCACAGTTGTCAAAGGACAAAATTTCTTCAGCCATTTTTCACTTAAAGAGTCACAGATGAGGGGAAAAGACTATGCTGAGCTCTGCTTGAGGGAATCTGAACCTAACTCACTGCCTCCCAGGAACGATGCATCACTGCCTGGCATGTGAAAGGTGTAAAAGGAGACTGAAATCTCTTCTATTAGTTCCACTTCACTCTGTCTGAAAGTATCAAAAAAGGCCTTGGAGCAGGAGTTGGACCTAAGCTTTATGATCTGCCCAGCTTTATGACCTGCCTGTGCCACAGACTTCAGCTCCAGCTGTGGGACATCCCAGTGACAGCCCCGTGACGTGAATGTTTGGGAAAGGAGAAAGTTACAGCATAAAATCCCTGGCCCGAGTCAATGAGGAGCAGCTTTGGACCCAAGAGTCCCTTCTCTCCAGGGATGCTCTAAACCACAAGGGTCATAGGAAAAGAGGCCTTTGACCCAGTAGCTGTTTTAGAGCTTCTTCGCACAGCATATTCAGATGGGCTCTGCAACTAGCAAAGACTGCTGATGCATCTCACATCCCTGATGCAGAGTTTTGTCCAGCACCCCTCCATGCTCAGCATTATGGCTGGTAGAACGGCTTCAGAAGAAGACCTCGAGATAAGCACCCATTGACACAGGCACGCAGGGATAGCTCCTATACCTCCTCCTGCAGCTCCCTGAGCCATGGGGTGAGCATTTCTGTAGACAGCCTCTGCTTCTCCAAGGAGCTTTTTGAGGACCTCTTCCTGCAAATCTAATCTCTCCAACACATCTAGTGCATACCTAGATTTGAGCTGGGCTGAATGTAGCTCTCTAAGATGAGCTTACCTGGGAGGTGTCGGAGGTGTTTTAATATCTCCCCTCTCAGACAAGGAGAAAAAGCAGTCCCAGCCACTCCTAACTGCGTGCCATGTCTCAACTGGTCCTACAGGGCATCTCCCTACCAAGGTTTAGTGGGTGACACTGGTAGTAGTAGTGATGGTTGGGCCAGATGATCTTGAAGGTCTATTCCAACCTTAACGATTCTATGATGAGTGATTTCAGCACAAGTTTATATCCTTGGCTAACAAATGAGCTGTGGTGACAGAGATGGTAAGGCATGACTTCATTTGCTATTTTGGATTCCTTTAGCAGGGAAGTTTGAGCAGGGCCAAGTGGGGCAACTGATCAAGTTGAGAAAGAGCCTTTTTGGAGGAAGTTTGTTTTTCAGCTGAATCAGCTTCCTGGTCTGGTTCGTCATGCAACCCCATAAACAAGAAGGCTGTCACAGGGCAAGAAGCAGAGCCAGGAATTAGAACTATTGGAGTAAGCTGTGTTGCACTGAGTGCTGCCTGCTAAGCCTCTGATGTTTGGGAAGCCCAAGATGATTTATCTCTTGTTGCCTGCTCTAATTGCACCCGAGTGGCCCTGCTGCACATCAAGCAGTGTGTGCATCCAATCTGTGCTGTCACATCCCGTCCCACCATCACCCCAGATACTCACCTATCCCTCTTCATCAGAAGTTGCCAGCTACCACCTGGCAGATGGCTGCTTGGATCATTCTCCTGCCTGGGTGCGATTGCAGCATGCTGTCGTTATTTATTCCACTCTATAATAGTCAATGGTCTGTGTTTTCAGAAGCAGGGAGAGAATCTGGGACACCTCAATTTTTATTTTTATTTTTTACTTTTTTTTTCTTTTTGATAGAAAGAAATATCACGTAAGTTGGCACGAAAGCTTGGTAGGGCTGCTGTCCTCATTCTTGAGAGCTGACGCACAGGGATATTCAACGCCTCACCTCCCATCTCAAAGGAGAGCCTGTGGCAGAGCCAAGATTTGGGTTCTCATCTCCTTACTCTTCAGCCAGGGCACAAGCCACAAACCACATTTCCTTTTGTCCTGGAATTCAAGGTGAGGCTCCAAGGATTCAAACCCAGGTGGACAGAAACCGCCGAAAATCTTTGGACGTATCCCACTTGACTGAAACTCAAAACTCTCGTCATCATTCTTGCCGTAAAGCCTCTGGTTTTGTTTTGAAATGAGGAAAGCACATCTGAAATTTCCTGCAGTGCAACGGGTACCTGGATTCTCTTCCTCTTTTCCCTGTCTCATTGCTGAGTGCATTTCACAGGCCAGTTCTTCACCTGGTATGAACTGGCAAATTCCCATTCAGTTAGTGAGGGCATTGATCTGTCTCACATTCATTGCTTTCTCTCACAGTTCAGCACTGCAACTTTTTTTTTTCCCTAACTAATGTTCATTCAGACTAATGTGATAAATTGTTAGCAGGCAACCAATGTTTAAATATAATAATAAAATAACAACCAGAATTTCAGAGAGATCTGTGGAGAAATGAGGAAGTAGCTCAGCTGAGCCACAAAGTTGGATTTGGGGCTGTTATCTGCTGATCTCTTTTTCACCTTGCAGCTACCCACTCCTAATGTGTTTGCCTGTTAATAACAGGCTAGAAATGTCTATGTAGATTAATGCAAGTGAAGAAAATGCACTGCGGGAGGGATCTGTGAGTCCAGAACCACTGCTTGCCCCATGAGATTGAGGAGCAGGTTTCTGTGCACCACGCCTCCACTTCAGGCTTAGATTTGGGCTGGAAACACAAACCAGCACTGACTGCAAAATGTGATCCTGCCTGTGCATGGACTTCATTAGCTCTTTCCTGGGAAGCAGCAAGCCCAGAAAAGTTGAGCATCTCAAATCACTCCTGTCTGCCTTCTGGAAGCAGGAAGGTGTTGGTCTCCAGGCCGATCCATGTTGCCCTTTCCCCTTTGCTGGTTTTACTGGCTCTTTTTTATTAAATCCATAGTTTTATTTCTTAGCCTGCATGACGGTTAACGAGTGCCGTGTGCCTTGTGGTGCAGTGCCAAAGAGCAGCAGTTTCCAGGGCGGCTCGTATCCAAGTGGCCAGTGAGTGGTTGCGTTGTTCTTCCTCCCTGGCCAGCATTGGCGTCATCTTTGCGCCGGGCCTGATCCAACGTGGCTCCAGCTACTAAAAATGGCTCTAAAACCCCAGCTAGCACGCCTAAAAATTGGACTGGATGTTGTGAAAAAAGGAAATGGTTGGCAGGTGCATGGAGAGCAGTGGTGTTCACCCTTTTTGTAGAGGCTGGAAGGAGATGTTCATTGGAAGGGGACTTCTGAAGGCTGGAAGGGATGTTCAACATCTGTCTTGGTTTCAATTTTCCTTTGATCCTTGGCCCATGCCCTGATAGACCAGGCAAATAGCTGTCAACTGGAGTATTCAAATATATTATCTGCTGCCATGGCTCAGCAGTGCCTTGTTCAATTTGATGCAATTTAACCAGATCCATGTCTAACCCCCATTCTGACAGTGGCAGGGACCAAGAAGCATCAGGGGAAAGCTTAAAAATTCAACAGGGATTTCTGGAGAGTGGGAACACGTGGCTATTTCTCATGTGAGTGCAAGCAAGGTTGATGGTCCAAAGGAAAGACTTAGCAAACAAAGGTTTAAAAAGAAAGAGATAATATAAGCTTCCTTCAACAGTAACAAAATACTACTTATCTGTAAAATCTTCAAATTTCTTTATTTTCCCCCTAAAAATGTTACCTTTCATTTGTTTTAAGCTAACTAGTAGAGGGTGAGTCCCCCCCTTCCCTCCTAGCACAAACCACGTCGGCAGTGCCCTCTTCCCCAGCTCACCCCCCCCAGGAATATCTCTGAGCTTGAGGACTTGCTGTGGACCCCTGCTGAATGGGGCTGACATGGGCACAGCCTCGTGTGGACCTCTGCCAGTCCAGCGTGCTTCTGCACAGCCCTGCCTCAGGATATGTTCCTCGTCTGCCACTTTTAGCTAACGGATACCCAGAAAATTAAAAACAAAACAACAACAACAAAAAAAAGGAAAGGGAAAAAAAAAAAAAAAGGAAAAAAATCTGTCCCCACAAGCATTTGGCTTCCTTTCTTCTTTTCTCTCTTTTTTTCTCCCCCTTTTTTTTTTCTTTAAATTTAGTTTCTAGATGAAAGCCTTTCAGAAAGAACAGGAAACCCTAAAATTTCTCATCTACGTACATAAATATTAGATTTCAGCCATGGTGGGCAGCCTGATGCCACCCCAAAGTTAAACCTGGAAGGGGATGAAGTGAAATTCCCAGCCATAAGCCATCAGACCTGATTTTTTTTCGCCCATGAATTAAAAGTCTGTCTTTCCCTGGTTTGGAAGAGGAGATGGGACATTTTGTGGGGGAAGAGAGATTTTTACACAAACCTGTTATTAGCAAAGGCCATCGGCAGTCCTTTCTCAGAGTCCTAGGTGTTGCAGCTTGCCTCAAAATGGCTTGTTTTTTAATAAATAAACCTATTTGCTAGGGAGAGGGGTTATTTTTAGTTGAGAAGCCGTGTGTTTTTACCCAAGGTACGTGGATTGCCTGCCTGAGTTTATTGCTCCATTGTCCCTAAAGGACCCATGCCCAAGCCCAGGAAATCTCTGGGCTTGCAGAAGCTCAGAATCTGCTCTTGGCTCTCTTCCCAGAGGCTCAAGCCCTATCCCTGGTCATCCATCCTGCCAGGGTGTCCTCAGAGGTAGGGAGCAGCCTCAGGTGCCCTTGAAGCCAAGGGATATAAAAGCATTCAGGGCACTCAAGATTTGCCTGAACACCCCAGACCTCCATAAACCTCACATCTCCTCCTGCTCTTTTAGCTTCTCCCTGTCTGTGAACTCTCAGTCCTCACAGCTCAGCAAGTCTGGACCACAGCTGTGGCACAAATGTTGCCCCCCAGACAACCTAATCATCCCCTTTTAGCATGCTCCCCACACAGTTTCAACCTGGGACAACCATCACTGCCCCTGTGGACCTTATTTACAGACTAGCATCAGCCAGAAAATTTTCCATATGGCAGCACATACAACACTGTTCTTCCTGGGTATGCAAAATGAGGATTTCAGATGGATATGAGCCATGCTGGGCTTACAGGGCATGAAAACAGGCTATGATCTTCTGGATGGAGTGGTATAGGTGTAACCAGTGAGTCTCGGTCAAGACTGGGTTTCTCGTTGTGTCTGTGTCTGTTCTGGAATAGGTCAAAAGAGAACAGAAGATCTATGGAGAGATGTGTTCTCCCATCCCAACCCTCTGCTACAGCTATTCAAGTCAGCAGGCTGTGATGGCTAGCAAGGGCTTGTAGCTCTTCACAGCTAGCTTGTGCTCATGCCTGAGTTATAGCTAGCAAGAGAAGAAATATTGAGAGTTGGCCTCTACCTGCAGATGTTTATGGGCCAAAACCTTCCATTCCCACTGAAAAATGTCTTCTTAGCAGCGTTATAGGTCTTGCAATGCACAGGAGGATCAAGTATCGGGAGTTATGATAGGAATAAATGGTCCGTGTGTGCATGGAGATGGGTAAATAACAATACACAGAAACAGCTGCAGTTCAGTACTTGTTGCTGCACTTATTTCTACAGTTATTTTTAATGATTTATAAGACCAGCACTATCAGCTTGCAGACGGAGATTTAGAGGGGTTTGGAAGGAGGGGTTTCCTCTCCTGCCTGAGGGAGAGGAAAGACATGGTGTGACAAGAAGTAGGCCCTAGCCCCACGCATTTCACCCCTTTGAAGTCCGTTTCCTCTAGGACTGAGCATGCAAGAGGTGTTCTACCCACTGAAGACCAGCAAAGGTCTCTGGGGATTTACATCTACCCTTCGTCTCTCCTCCCACTCACGTTGCCCATGCACACCCCCAGGTCTTTGTGGATGCACGCACTGACACAGGGCAGACACCCTTCTCCACACATAGGCACTGGCAACATCTATACACAGACAAACACACACACACAATGCTCTGACAGCCAGGTCTGGAACACGTCTGCAGCACCAAACAACCTCTGCAGAGCCACTGTCCCTCCAAGCCTCCCCTTCTCCTCCTCCTGTCCCAAAATGCTGGGTCATTTTTTCGGTTGCTCCTCCCTGCCTGTTTCCAATCCACCAAATGTCCTTCCCGTAATAGAGTGACCACAATTGCACACCGTATTCCAAATGTGTCTCCCTGGTGCCTCGCATGGTGCCAGAAGAAGTCGGTCTGATTTATATTCCATGCCCCTAGATAAACACCTCGAGACCATGTTTGCATTTATCCAGCTGCCAAGCAGCTTCACAGATGGTTTTAATGTGTTCTCCACATGCATGTACCGCTTGCATAGGGGCTCAGAATTGAGACTGGGGGGAAGGACAGGGGGAGGAGGCGAGGGAAATGTGACAGGCAAGGGAGAATAGCCCTCAGCGCACCCTGGGGATGCAGCCTGAGGAATGAGCAGGCATGGCCTGAAAGCACCTCTCCCTCCCTCCCTCCTCCTCTTGAGCAACTGCAGTGTGCTGGAATACTGATGGGGCTCAGGTGTGCAAGCGGAGATGAAGAAAGGGGTTGTGTAGAGCAAACCAAGAGATGCATGTGGCCTTTTCACCAAGCACGGCGAGTGGCCTTTCAGCCTTCAAAAGCCAAGTCCTGCAGCAGTGGTATCAAACAGAGCATTTGCTTGCTGCATCCTGAATAGCTTATTGGTTTGCACTAATGAAGACAAGTTCCGTGCAACGAGATTTCAGCCCTCAAGGACTAAGGAGAGCTGTAAGGCACATCTGTTCTAAAACTACAGTAATATGTGTAACTATAACCTCTCTGTAGTATGGCGCTGCTGTAAGGGAGTATTCACGACAGTCCAACCACCTGGAATGGTTATGCTATAACGGTAAGCTTCAGACACCACAGGCAATGAGGCACAACTCCTGGAAGGTTTTACAGGGTAGCCTTAGAAGATGGGCAAAGACAGACTATAATAAAACGGCATGGAGATGCAGAGAAATAAAACAGAGTTGTGACTTATACCAGCCCGGTGTCATGAGATTGATTGTGGAGGATCACATCTTTCAGTGCCTTTCACTGAGGTGCTGGTAGCTTTGGGTTAGACAGTGAATTGATGAATGTTTGGGGAAGTAACCCCATTTCAATGATCCTGAAATGTTGTCATTAAATCAGCAAATGTATACATATATTTAAGAAGTGTGTAGTATTAGGTCCCATCTTCACCATTCAGAAAAGAACCTACTAAGAAGAATAAGACCAAGAAGTTTTGACAACTAAAGTGAGCAGTTTTGGTGATGGTATGGACATGAGGAAGAACTTAGGTTAAACAGGATTTGAATGTATGAGGTCTCAGGTGAGCTGGAGAGATGGTCTGAGGAGCAAAGTAAAATAGTATAACGGGAAATGCATCAGGAAACTGGAGGTGAGGTTTACGGTGAAATGGTGGAAGAAAGAGAGGCTGAGCTCTGCTGCAGTTTAGTTTCTCTTGAGGACGTGGTGAGCTGGGAATCTTAAACCCAGGAGATGAGGGCATAAAAAGTGCTTATAGGAGGGGCTGTGTGGGCATCTTTGTACATACAAAGTTGTTGCACCCAAGTGTTGCAGCATCCGTTCTATGTAATCAGAAGCCACCTTAACACCATTTAGGGACACAAAACCTGTTGTTCTTTCCAGAGTTCTCATCCCGAACAAGATCATCTGAAGGGCAGAAGCTCAGTCTTAATTTCCAGAATGAGCTTTGTTCACTGCCAGTTTGCACATGCTTATTTATGCATCTTCTCTTACTTTCAGAGCTCATCTCTGTTCATGAGGCTTACCAATAGGATGAGAAAAACCTTCTTTCTAATTCTTTGTTATTTTATTTTATTTTATTTTATTTTATTTTATTTTATTTTATTTTATTTTATTTTCCTTCAGAGCCAGCAGCAAACTCTTTCACTCTACTAGTCCTTCCCCATTGCTGGAAGAATTTTCTTTCTGTTTCTCTTTGCCAAAGGAATTACAAACTTTTCCCCAGAGAGGCCATTTTCTTTGACACTAGCAAGGACATCTCAGGACCTGCGAAGCCTCCTCTAGCAAATTACAGCAGAATGAAGAAGCAGAGTATACCTTAGGAGACAAAGCTTCGATTCCAGCCTCGGCAGTTGACTTCTACCAATCTCGCTGTGGTAGCTTTGTAGTCTAAGAGTCTAGGCAGAGAACACAGCTTGAATATGTGTTTATTAGTGACTGAAATCCAGTGAGTGAAAGCAATATCCCTCTCCAGTCCTGGTGGCAATAGAGACCACAGGACTTCCAGCCAAAGCAGGTTGCCCCATGAGCATCTCTTCCTTTTGAGACAACCACACAGGATATCATTTGGATCCAGCAAGCTACTTAAAAAGGTGGGTTTCTTAACCCATCCTAAGAGATTAGTTTTTTGCCTGTTGGAGAACTCAGAAACTCTTCAAACACAGATCCCAGCCCTGTTCTGCTACAGGTGACAGAGGCTGAACTCATGAGGAGGGTAGGTCCCAACATCATTTCTGTTTGAATGTGCAGCCTCCAAGAAAAACCACTGCTCCTCACTTCCTCCACAAGGACAATCATTGTGTCCTCCCTGAACTCGTATCAAACCAGAGGAATTGAAAGAAAGACACCAGGATGAAGCATCTGCAAAGACTCCAGAGAACAAAAAAGTCTTACTTTACTCCCAGCCACTCATGATGTCATGCACAAGCACTGAAGTTGTTGGTGATGTCCTGCAAACATAAGAATCTCTGGTGC